AGTAAAATTCTGTGTTACTTTTAGGAAATTGTTTCAATTTTCTCTTTTAAATTATACTACAAACAGGGTAAATCTAAATAATTTCCTTATAAGAAAACAAAAAAAGCAGTGTCTTTAAAAAACCTTGAATGGTTATAAAACAAGGCTGATATCCAAAAGATGTTTCAGAAAAAAACTTGCATTTCAAGTTAAAGAAGGGGAAAGTCTTGCTAAGTCAGTGTAACTTTAAATCACAAACATGTGTATTACAGCTGAAATTTCTAGATTTTAGTGGTTTTCTTGATACTTAGTCCTCAATGTGTCCCCCTCTTTTACATCACAAGGAGCGTTTTATACAGGATCTCAAGCAAACTGGCTTCATGACCACACTTGAGAAATGAGCAGAGCGACAGAGAACTAAATGTGGCAATATTTAACATACAGTGTTGTTGTTTTCCTGAACAAGTCACCAGCCCAAATCTACACAGTCAAAGGCAGTAGACAATGAAAGATCCGTGCATGTGAACTCAGTACATGCCTCTTAGGGGCAGAAATCTAAACCAAATCTAGGGAGACTTTTGAGCATCTGAAATTGTATAAAGATTCCTGGCAGAGGAGTTAAATAAATATCTGTTAAATGAATATATGATGGTGAGAGTTCTTGGGGGAAAAAACCATGAGAAATAAATTCTCTCTTATACATTAAACATAATGAAAAATTAATAGTACAGTAATCTTTCATCATCATTATCATCATCATCACCTTAACACAAGAAATTCTTAAGCATACACTCCAGTATTATTTATAGGCATTATACCGTATAGAACTCTAAGACATATTCATCTTCTATACCCAAAACTTTGTACCCTTTAATAAATACTACCATAATGTTTCAAAACCACTAATGCTAGTATTGATTTATGAGTAGTCTAAGATTTAGAAGAGGGTTTTTTTTCTTAGCATACATTTCTCTTGAGATTATAAATCAATACAATCCTTTTGGAAGGTAATTTGGCTACATGTATCAAATACATAAAACTGCTTAAGACCCAGTAATTTCCTTTTTGGAAATGTATTCCTAATAGCTGCTAATGTATCCCTAAGAGTAGCTCTTATGTAGCACTTACTACGTGCCAGGAGTTATTCTAACAACCCGGAGTCACACTGCCTACAAGTAAAGAATCCAGAATTTGAACTTGGGCGCTGTGGTTCCAAAGCCTGTCCTCTGACAGCATTTGCTGTCTTAGCTACAAAGATGTTCACTGTGTCATTGTTTATAACAGGAAAAGTTTAGAAGCAAACTAAATGTCCACAAGGGGTATGAGTTAAATAAACAATAGTACATCCATTGATAGGATGCAAAGCAGGCATTAAAAATCAAGTTTTCTAAATAACATGTTTGCATGGACAAATAAGACATGGGGCTCAGTGGGAGAGGGGAAAGGCACCTGTTTCCTTTGGATGGTGAGATTATAATTTTCTTTTCGGTGCTTTGTTGTATCTACCAAATTCTCTAAAGGAACTTGAATTCTTTTTGACCCAGAAAAATATTACTATGAAATTTCTCCCTAGATCAGCATGGCCCACCAAAATATAATGAAAGTCACATACGTAATTTAAAATGTTCTAGTAACCATAACCATATTAACAAAGGTAAAAAGAAACAGATGAAATTAATTTTAAGTATTTCTTATTTAACCTATATATTAAAATATTATCATTGCAACATTTTATCAATATAAAATATTATGGAGTATTTTACTTTTTTGTATCAAGTCTTCGAAGCCTCTTTAGGACATCTCAGTTCGGTCTAGTCACATTTTAGCTGCTCAATAACCAAGTGGCTAATGGGTGCTGTAATGGACAGCACAGCTACAGATCCTTGCCAGAAGCTACACTTTCAGATCAAATGTGCCCAACCCATGAATCTTAAACCCTCCACTCCAAGTAACCATCTAAATTTGTGTCAGGCTGCTTCTTTAAAGAGAAAAGAGATGTGCTTGGGAGATAGGTGAATCTGAATTTGAATCCTCCCTCTAACACTTATCAGCTGTGTGATTTTCAGTGAGTTAGTTAACTTCTCTGTGCCTTATTTGACCTGTTCTGTAAATGAAGATAATGCCTACTTTGAGTTGTTGAGATTGAAATAATGTACTAAAACACCTAATACAATTAATAACAGGGATTTTTATTATCTACCCTTTGCCCTTTGCAATCTTCCTTAATCAGATAAAGAAAACATTTTAAGGCAAGACATGATTCTTAAAACAGATGACTAGAATTCTCATTCAGAATGGTCCTAGAACTAATTTTGGGGGGTGTGAAGAGTCAAGCAGTGGGAACCCACAATAAATACATTTGTATTTTAAAGCGTGCTACCTGATGGCAGGGAACAAATGGCACACATCTTTGCTTGCTTCACACAGCATTTGCTCAGCAAAATTCAATCCCTTAAACAAACATATAAATTACTAAATATGTACCAGGCATCCTACTACACAAAAGGGGTTAGGAAAAAAAAGGGGGGTTGGTGGGGGGGAAGAAGCTTCCTTAACTGAATGAAGGAATGAACCAATGACCACTGTACTTGTACTGATTTTTCTCAACTCAGTTGTTAGGGTTTTTTGTTTGTTGGAGGTCCTCTTGTTTCATGTAGATTTTCTTTACTATATCATTAGGTAGTGGGCTTTCTCCAAAGATTCAGCTGAAATACGGTCGGTCTACTATATCTGAATCTAGGTATAATGTGCATTCAACTTTTGTGTGATTTTCAAACACTTAAAAACTGGGGAAAAAAGTCACCCAATATAATAGGAAGTAATTATCATGACATACATCAATGGTTTTATAGCATCACTGTTTATAAAAAAAGATCATCAAAACTATACAGATGCCCCAAAGAGGTGAATGACTAAGAAAATTCAGATCATCAAGAAGATAAAATACTGTATAGCAACCCATTCACACCTGCAGGCTCTGTCAATTCATGAAACTATGCACTGCAATGAGGGAAAAAGCAGAATGGAACCCGGGATTACGACAGTGAACATATATGAAACATGCATTTACAAAAATTAAACAGTGTATTCAGCAAGGCAGAAATATGACTTCCCCTTCTGGGTAGTTTGCCCGTGTTCCTAACAGAAAAAGAATAAACATCACGTATGCTGAATCCTGTTTGCTAAGCAAACGTATCCTACACTAGAGGGCAGGTTGGCCAGGAAAAATCGCCCGTCTACGGAAGAGGCCGGCAAAGGGGCACTGGGTTCCCTGCTTACCGAACCCGCAGAGGTGCTGTAGCGGGGGACGCCCAGCTCCCAGTGCATAGTTTAACCCACCACTTGGAACCTCACAGCAGAGTGGGGATTTTTCTTAATCTGAGTCAATTATGCAGAACATACTCAGCACAAACATTTGACCCCCAGTGTCAGGTTTTATTTTTACATGATAACTCCTCAGTCCTTTAACCACAGGAGTGAGTACAGAGTAAAAAAAAAATTGAGCCTGCTGGTCTATGGTCTCATATCACACAGGACAGATGAGAAGAGCTGGCTCGCAGGAAGAAGAGTCCCCAGGATTCCCTCACACGCGCTTTGTGTTTGAAGAAATAAAATCGTCCCGAATCTAGTACTTACCTCGGTGCTTAAAATGAACAACATCCTCCTCATCTTGTGGTTTAAATGATAACTCAAGCTAGTTGTCTTCTATATTTCCTTTATTAATATAATTAGCATTCTTAGATCTTTTAAAATTGTTCCTCTTAGCCTTAGGGGGCGATGATCTCAGAAGGTTGAATACATATGCTGATTCGAGATATGATTTCTCACACATCCAACCTCTGTAATTTTGGATTACAGGGCAATATAGAGTAATTCTGGAACCAAGTCTTTGGTAATGTTGTTTAAAAACAAAGGCACCATTATACCCGTAAGCTCAGGATTTTTATTTTGCATTGCGCATGAGTAAATTTATGTAATACTCCTTTATGATATAAAAATCTTGACCTTAATTTGGGAGGAAAGAATAAGAATATAGTCATGAAGAGACTCCCCACTGGCTGAAAAGCTCAGAGCTAAAATCCAGGCGGGGTTTGAAGATATAAAGAGTTGAGATCCAAACTGCATAAACTTGACAATACTTCTGATCTAAGCGTTAAGTTTTTCGGTAATCTCTTTGTGGGCACCAGTGCAATAAAAGAGGGTTAAGAAGTAATAACTAATAAAATTATTTGCCTTGCCCCCCAAATGCCCAAGTCCTGAAGTACTGATCTCAGTGCCCATCCTTGTTATAAAACCTACCGTCTGGGTGATCTTGGGCAAAACACTGAATATCTTTATGATTCAACACCCCCATCTATAAAAATGATAACTACTTAACATAAAGTTATACATGTCTACTTAATATATAGTTTCTAAATTAAATCAATAAAGCAATTAAACGATAGATGTGGAAACGCTAGAAGCAGTGCAAATAAATAATTATAGAAGCAGCCTTTAACAGTATGGGAGCCACTTTTTTTTTTTTTGCATCACTTTAAGCATTTGGACTAATTATACATGACATGGAAATCTCACCAACGGAACTGCACTGTCTCAGTTTAAAAGAGACCTTCAGACATGATATTAAGAGTCCGCTTCATACTTAAATAAGTCAGCTAAAAGGGAAACCTCAGATGGACAAACGCACTTCCTTGGCATAAGCTCATTTAGGAAAGGAACCGAAACACAAGACCCAGGCAACCCCTGTCCGCAAGACTCCAAAAGGCGGGCGTCAGTAACTCCCAGGACTGAATGACACCGAGCGACAGCGCAGACGGCCAGTGAAACTCAGGTCGTCCTAGGAACGACTCCCCCTGACAAAATAAGACAACACAGCACCACACACAGAAGCACGAAACCACCGCCCCCCGGCGCTGGGGGACCTGCGTGGGCCCGCGGAGCAGCTGCGCGGGGCGGGGGCGCGCCGTCAGGGCCGTTTCGCGGGCGAGAGCGAGGCCGGGGAAGCGCGGGGCGGACCTTACCTTGCACCGACCTCCCGACACTGTGTAAGTGGGTGACGGAACTGTAGTTCTGGGCAACGTTCTTCAAAAACGCTTCCATCTCTTCCTGGTGGTGGTAGCTGAAATCCAGCGCGGCCACCAAAGGCAGGAGCAGCCCTAGCCAGAGGCGGGCGAAGTCCATGCTCTGGAGACGGACAGAAATGACAGCAAAGCTGAGGCCAGACCAGGAGGGGGG